CACCGCACACCGCTCCACCCTACTCCTACCCCCACCCCCACCCCACCACATCCTTTCACCGATCTAAGCGAGTTCACAAAAGGCAGTTATGATTGAGACATCATTGGTGCATCAATGTACGATTGTTGTGGCTGATTGGCGGGTTGCTGCAACCATCGAATATTGCTCGTTGAGCAGCTTACCCACTGAATCAGCCATCAGCATAATCATACGCGATCTTGATGTCTGCTCAGTCAATGCTTCAGATGTGTATCGCTTAATTCACTATATCACATGCATACATACACACACACACTCACACTCACACTCACACACAATCATGCCCACCCTGATCGGTAGTTTGGAAATCTGACTAATCTCGATTGGTTTGATTCTACAGGCAGGAGCCACCAACAGAGGAAAGATCGGTGGTGACATCCTTGTGAACGGAAGAAAAGTCACTGGATCAGCCATTCGACTTATCTCAGGCTATGTGCATCAGGATGACCTTATTCTCGGAACGATGACGGTGAAGGAAGCTGTCATGATGTCAATCAAGCTTCGCTCGCCAGAGATGAGTGAGGCGGAGCGCGCGGGGAAGCTTCAAGAGATCCTCTCGCTATTGCAAATGGAGAAGGCGGCCGACACCCTCATTGGGACGGCCACGATGAAGGGGGTCTCGGGGGGAGAGAGAAAGAGAGCGGCGATTGCGATGGAGATGGTGACTGACCCATCGATCCTTTTCCTCGATGAGCCCACCTCAGGATTGGACGCCTACACAGCCATGATGGTGGTCCACATCCTGAAGCTGTTGGCGGCGAATGGAAGAACGGTGATCACGGTGATGCATCAGCCCTCGTCCGAAATCTTCCATATGTTCGATGACCTGATGATCATGACCGAGGGGAAGATCACGTACTTTGGGGAGGCCTCGAAGGCGGTAGATTACTACGCTTCGATAGGCTACCAGTGTCCGATGTACACCAATCCCGCTGATTATATCTTCATGAATGTCCTTTTCCAGTTTGACCCAGATATGACCAAAGGTGACAACGCTGGCTCCAGAGAAAAGGCCAGGATCGAAAGTGATATTGCTGAGAAGAACCGACTCACTGATGTTATCACATCATGGGAAAGCTCACCTCAAGCCCATGAGCTTTTGAAGGTGGCCCAGCAACCAATTGTGAACCCCATCACTGCACGCATGCTCAAGTATCGGAGCGGGTTCAAGACCCAGTTCCAGTTCCTCCTGAAGCGAGCATGGCACAATGTTCTTCGCAACAAGATGATCTTCAAGGCACGACTTGGACAGACGATATTCTTCTCACTGTTGATTGGTCTGATCTATTTACAAATTCCACGCAAGAGCCAGATTTCGGCACAAATTCAGGTAGGTGATAAGCACATGCACCCACACAATGCCATTGTTATCGTTCAGACGCTAACTGGAATCTCTTCACATCACTAGGATTACTCGGGTTCATTGTTCTTTGTCATTGTTAATGGATTCTTCTCTACTGTGATGCCAATGATCTCAGTATTTTCCGAAGAGCGAGCAGTGTTTCAGCGGGAACATGGAAGCGGCTACTACACCCTGAAGTCGTACTACTTCTCGAAAATCATTGTGGAACTCCCGATCAACCTCTTCATCCCGGTGATCTTCTCGAGCATCACCTATTGGATGATAGGGTACCAAGCGGATGCTGGCAAATTCTTCATCTACATGTTGACCAACGTGGTCATGTCCCTGGTCGGCTCAGCCTTTGGTATGTTTGTCGCCAGCTTGTTCAAGCAGCTTCAGGTCGCATTGGCAGTGGTCCCCTTGGTTGTGCTTCCCCTGATGATGTTCGGTGGATTCTTCCTGAACAACGGAAGCGCCCCAGTCTACCTTGGGTGGATTCAATGGATCAGTCCCATCAAGTATGGATTTGCATCGATTGCCAAGAATCAGTTCCATGGACTAGTAATACAAGGACAAGCTATCGGAGAACAACAGCTTCGCAGTCTATCACTGGATGGGGGATTCTCGATCTTTGTAAACATTGTGATGATGTTGGTACTCTATGTCGCAGTGTCAATCCTCTCGTTCATCTCCCTCTACCGGCTGGTGAACTCCGGTAGTGGACAGAAGCTACAAACGAGAAAGGAGCTCAAGAACCAGCTTCTCAACAACCCTCCTCACGATATCAGCATCAAAATGTAAACGTCGACCATCGCATTATAAATAGTACCATTAATTCATTAATAGTAAATGAGGATTTGCAGAAGGCATACATGTCAGGCTTGAAATAAAAGAACCATTTCGTAAACCACGCTGGATGGTTGTCAGTATTGAACAATAGAATCTTTGGTGTACGAGTACTTCTCAAATCATCCAAATCAATATATTGTATTCTATTACGATCCGAATAAATGATTGATGTATCTACTATGCTGAGATGCCGGATAGTAATCGACACTCTAACGGCACATCAACTGGATCATTATCAATAGGTTTATTTGGAATTTCACGGATGACTCTATGCTAATAGGATAAGGCAGAATATAGGGTAAATATACAAGTGTAGAAACTTTACGCAGCTGATTCAACGATTAGTGTTTTTCAGCATCACCCAAGATTTTGTTGACCGAGAGACCGTCGGAATCCGAGTCAGAATCATACTGAGCAAAGTTGTTGGACTCCAAATATTGGTCGAGCTTGCCGGCGGCGGCAAGAACAAGCCCAACGAATGGTGGGGATGGCTTCAAGGGTCTGGTGATGTACTCGGGGTGGAATTGGGCAGCAACGAAGTAAGGATGGTCCTCCTTCTCGAGGATGATCATTCTCTCGCCCTTCTCATCACGACCGATGAACTTAAGACCCTTGGCTTCCAAGGCATCGATATATGCGGGGTTGATTTCGTATCTGTGACGATGACGCTCTTCGACGGTCTTGGCACCCTTGTACAATCTGCGGATCTTGCTGTTTTCGCTACCATCTTGGAAAATGGTGGGACGGACACCAAGACGCATAGTACCGCCAAGGTGGGTCTTGGAGATCTCGGGCATGTAGATAGCGATGGGATGAGGAGTATCTTCAACAAACTCGGCCGAATGAGCGTTCTCCAAGCCCAACACGTTGCGGGCAAACTCGGTGGCGGCCAATTGGAGACCCAAGCAGATACCAAGGAATGGAACGTTGTGTTCACGAGCCCACTTGATGGCAAGCATCTTGCCCTCAGTACCGCGGATACCGAAACCACCAGGAATCAAGATACCGTCGGCAGAGCACACCGCTTGCCAGGAATCGTGGTACTTGATGGGATCCTTATGTTGGGCTTCGGGCTCGAGATCGGTACCTTCGACCCACTTAATGTTGAGCTTCAGGTTGGAGGAAAGGGAAGCATGCTCCAAAGCCTTGACCACGGAGCAGTAAGAGTCGTGCAAGAAGGTGTACTTGCCGACCAAAGCAATGGTGACCTCATCTTGAGGGCGATCGTGTCTGAGGGCAACCTGTCTCCACTTGCTCCACAACTCATGACCCTCACGGACCATGGATGGGGAGATACTGATCGAGTCCAAGTTGAGTCTCTTGCGGAAGGCCTCCAAGGCACCCTGTTGTTGGAGCAACAAGGGGACATGGTAGATGGAGGAAACATCACGAACGGCCAGAACACACTCGGGGTTGACGTGGCAGAACATGGAGATCTTGTCGCGGATTCCCTCGTCGAGGGGCTTGGAACTACGACAGGCGATGAAGTCGGGGTTCAATCCCAAACCGCGCAAATCACGGATACTGGCCTGGGTGGGCTTGGTCTTCTGCTCTCCAACGGAGCCAACGACAGGGATCAGGGAGACGTGAATCAACGCGAAGTTCTCGTGGCCGACACGGAACTGGAACTGACGCATGGCCTCGACGAATGGAGCGGACTCGATATCTCCGACGGTACCGCCCAACTCGATGATACAAACATCGGGCTCCTCTCCACTATCGTCAACTGGGTTCTTGCTGACGGTCTCAACCCAGTCCTGGATAGCGTCGGTGATGTGGGGAACCACCTGGACAGTCTTCCCAAGGTAGTCACCCTTTCTTTCCTTCTCAATGACATTTCTGTAAACCTTTCCGGTGGTGATGTTGTTTTCCCTGGAGAGGGTGACATCCAAGAATCTCTCGTAGTTACCAAGATCCAAATCGACCTCGCCACCATCATCGAGAACGAAGACCTCACCTAAGGATCGAATGAAAACATGTTAGCCTTCCTGTGGTGGTGTACGATGGGTTTCGTCGAGGCAACACCGCGGGTGCTCCTCGGATATTTCAGATGCATTTATTTCCAAAGTGCCACAAACATACCGTGATCAAGAGGGCTGAGGGTACCAGCGTCAATGTTCAAGTAAGGATCAATCTTGATGGCGGTCACCCGGAGACCCAGGGTCTTGAGCAACAATCCGGTCGAGGAAGCGATGATTCCCTTGCCAATACCGGAGATGACACCACCAGAGACCAAAATGTATTTAACCATGATAGTTTATATTAATATAGAATAATACAAGAGGGGAAAGGATGATCTGAAGGTAGCTAACAGCCCGAACGCTATCTGTTCGGGAAAGAAAGGCTGAACAGAGCGAGTCCATTTGTACCTTTCGAAATCCCAGCAAATCCCACCAATCCCCCCTGCAATTTTTTTTCTCCCATTGAGGGTTCCCAAAAAGGTCATCGCTTTTTTTGTCACTCGAGGGGGGGGGGGGCCGCTGGAAATCCCATCATAAATATCGTATTGAATCCAATGGCGATTTCGCTCACTTGCGGAATATTCCTGGGGGCATGGGCCAATCATCGGTCCCGGCCGAGGCCCCCACAGCCAATTGTGGTCGGTCCTGTGAAAAAAAAACATTTTTTTTTATGGTTTCACGTACGTGATTGAATGATCACTTGCCTATCGATCGATCGTGCCAGGGATCGATCACGAAACAACCGAGTACGATTAATCATTTGTTGCTCCAGACAATGCGCGAAAATGGCACCCAATTTTTGGAAAAGTCAACCCAGCCGGGGGTCGAACCCGGGACCTTCCGCTTAGGAGGCGGACGCTCTATCCACTGAGCTACGAGGTCATATACATTTTGTTAAAGAGTAAGCAGTCAATCGACGTTAACTGACATCAACGCATTCAAAGACGACCCAGTAGCCTGGGAAAGAGACAAATCACCAGACTCACACTAAGGTATAAATACCAATCATACAATCAAATAAAGTTGAAGTTTGGTTCGAAGTAGGAAGAACGGTAGAAACGATTATTACTTTGAATATGTTTCTACAAATCATTATCGTAATGTACGAGATAACGTACACGCTATCTATTTCTGTACTCTTAAAGTACGTAACAGTTTACTTGGAGAATTTGTTTTTTTACATCAAACAATCCCTACCTTCGTGCTGACTAAAAATTTCACCTTCGACATATTTATGTTTGTATAGCGATTGTAACTATTATTGAGCACGATTTAAACAGCAAACAGATAAGTTTAATCGTGGGGTTGTATGTAGATGGAGCTTTATATAAAGTAAACTTAGTTAACCAATAATGTCGACAAAAAATCAATGCTGAAAGTAGCGCCCTAAAACAATAACCCAATAACCCCCAAAACCTTTTTGGTGCACCCAAAAGTACAAAAATTTTGAAGAAATTGGTCAGGATTGACACTTCGCGTTAAAGTCTAAGCAAGCTGAACTCAAGTGCGTTTCCGATATGTTGTTGAATCTGTGCAAAACCACCTTGAGTAGATTGTCACCTGTGACCAGTTCAGCGGCCACCTCTATTCGTGCCACAACAACCTATATACAATCTTCTGGATACAGTACCTTTTCTTCTTACCTTTCTTCCAACGAAAAGGCCGAGAAGACCAAGGCAACCGCAACTGAGGTGCCCTCTTTCGAACAAGATTTTGAAGCAGGTATCTCACAAGGTCGCTCCGTAGCTGTACACAATGGAAACGTAATGCAGGCCTATCGTCGTCTGAACAATATCATCAAGGATAACAACATCCGTAAAGAGCTTCGCCAAAACGAGTACTACGAAAGACCCTCGGTCAAGAAGCACAGACTTCGCATCGAGCGTAACCGCCGCCTCTTCCAAAGAATTGTAGCCAAGAAGGTTGCCTTGGTGATGCAAATGAAGAATAGGTAGGAGTCGTTTTCATGATGTGAGGTCCATTATTTGCATCTAACACTGCTTCATCACTTTCCAGAGGAATGTAGAGGAGCCTATTAGGGCCAATCTATGGCAAGACATGTTTTGGAGGCCGTGCTTCTCGCTTGAGACATCCCATCGTGAACCTTCTAAAATAACCCATCAATTCCCTAGTGACATCCTGCATTCAAATCACTCCACTAAATTTCATTCTATAAAACTCGCTATACTCATTATATGTGCGATCGGTCGAGAATGGCTAGCATATGAATACGAAAACGTCAGTGGATATGTCGATGGTGTGAATGCCCCGAAGTGGATGGCGGACTGCAGAGGCCAACGGCATGATAGCCTGTATGTCTTGAATTCGGTTCTGATAAGCAAAGTCACCCGTCATTTGTCTGCTCGAAAGTGCTAATTACTGAGTCTTGGGGTTTGAATTTTATTAGGAATGTATGGCATGTCCATTGGAAATATGTCTCAATTGATCCTAAATGGATGACTGTACCTTGGAGGGGTGACATATCTATTGGCCGCTGAAGGCCCTGCTTATGTAAGCCATGTGTGGAGGCGCAGATGTTTCAGAGACAAGTTTAGGATAAATAGACGATATGGGGAGCATTCCAAGTACATTAAATGCGTTTCGGGTGCGAACCATAAGGGGCTCTAGATAGTGTTTTTGTGTTAGCATGAAAAGAAGAAACCCCGCGAATAAAGCCCACAATAAGCCAAGAAAGGTTAGTTGCTCCAAGAGAACTTTTCGAGAGACAAAGGGCGACGCCACCGCGACCACCCCCATGGATGAAGTTGCCTTGCCTATTGAGGAACTCAAGATTATCCAGTTGTTGGTATATTTCAATATCGACCTGTAGAAATAATGCACCAGTTAATGGCTGTTCATTGGTTACGCTCATCCAAGAATCACTGCACTGGTTTCCAAAATAACTGAGGCGTCCGGGGAAAGCTATTATGAAATCGTACTAGATGATTTCACTCTTTACAGCGCGAGAGGCGAGATCGTTGATTTATCGGAAAGCATAGAAAGCAGCGTTTTCTTTGATGGCACCCTCTCGGGTGCAAATACCTTATTGCAACCCATGCGATGTAAGAAGGTAGAGAGCAGGAGAGACATCCCATTTATGAAAATATACCGGCTGATGCTCGCGAGCCTCCTAGGGGGCAGTACGTGTTTTGTCAATCGGAGGCTACGGGACCGACAACCAAAGGTCCATTTGCTGGCTAAAATCCTCGGTGGAGGATGATACTTGGTATCTCTTGAAAAATCCGTCCGAACGATACCTCAGAGTTTGGGAGGAGTTCTGCTGGAAAGCGCAGTTTACGAAATACATTATGTACTATATAGAACGCTTTCTATTTGCGGATTACCAAGTCATACTGACATTGAACGTCTTAGCGACTTTGTCCGAGAGGAGCCTTCGAGGCCTTATAGCGACATTGATGGTACATATCTATATATGCCCCAGGTTATCAGTAATCCCAACATGTCATCGTCGTGAATTTAGATTCATTTTGCCAATGGGTCAATGATACTTATGCAGATGGTAATATCATGCCAGAGCTTACGGCCCCTTCCAAACAGATCGCTAATGTATAGCCTCGTTAGAATATTCCAAAATGTTGAGCACTAGACTGCAAAAAGGTATGCCAAGTGATTGAAAAGCGAGGTGCTCAGTGAGCTAAGGGTCCTGGTTTTCAGAGGAGATTGATTTCGTTATGACGACCAACTGGAAGTTCTTATGGTCCCAAGTAAGTACCCCCTTGGTTGTGTTCATGAAATATGCGCTCATACGGAGATTAGGTTCTTTCTTTGGGAGACGAGTTCGCGCAGTTGCCGTTTTTCCACGGTGGAGTGAAGCGCAAACAATTGCGTTGAGCCCAGTTCTAACCACGTTCTACGCGATAGATCTGCGTATCCTAAAGAGCGGCCCACATCGAACCTTGACATCGAAGGTACATCATCAAAGCACCGAGATTATCTAGCAACATAACTAACCAAGCATGAATGCATACAGTGGTTTGAAAACACCTTGACCACACCAAAAGCCATGTCCTGGTTCAGAGGGCTGTTTGGACGCCACATCAACAGGGTCAATATACCGGGTGCGTGTTTAATTTGACTGAGTGTGTTCCACTCAAATATTCAACATACATACATCTAGCACATCTAACTGAGCCAGCGCACGAGGTTCCAGATCTCCAGATGGATAACATATTTAGCCAATTAACACATTTCGACCAGAGGTTTTCACCTTCAGAGATAGATTGGAGAGAGCCGATTTCGTTAGAGGAGGGGATTTACAACAAGATGGTCTATGGCAGGGTATCAATCAAAGTAGGGGACGTCGTAGAACTTCATCAAGAGCAGTCGACCGACTGGAAAGTGAACGGACCTTGGATAGCTCAAGTTACTCAGCTTATCAAGAACGACGTGGGTGGGGGCTTTCGGATGGTTTGGCTATTTTCCCCGTGCCAGACTGTAATAGGAGATGTCGAAGGCTACGATCCCCGGGAGGTTGTCTACTTACCATCTTGGTCACATCCGTGGAACTGACCATCCCTTGTAGCTATTCTACACCGTGTTTTGCCAGTGTGATGATTACCAACCGATTTGCTGTATAAAGCGAAAGTGCGTCGTGTTCTTTGATCAGAGCAATTGCCCGGGTAAGCCTTGCTTTCTCTGACGATGTAGCCGATCGATTCACCAACACTTCCGTCCAGATATTCCGCACGTGTATTTTTGTAGGTTCTTTTATGACCATCTGAATGCTTGCTTCTGGCATCTGAACCGAAACGAGATTTTCAACTCCGCGACAACGTTGGTATGTGGTTGTGCGGCATTTTCTGATTCTGTCGTGACGAGATCTGGTTTCTATAAGATTGATCAATACGGTGTCGGGGATTTGCTCTTGCTAAAGCCATCTTCACACAGCACAAGATTACTGTATAGTGTAGTCGAGGTCACCAGAGTGGATAGAGTGTCCGGCAAGCTCACAGTCCGGTGCTTTGCCAATGCCAAGGAAATCCACTCGAAATACCGATTGCCTGTGGACAAGCCTAGGCTGAATGAGCTCTACTACTGCAACAGGTTTGACATATTGGATTCCACAGAGCTGCCTCGAATTGCGGGATATTGCCACGTAGAATATTACAAGCCAACATCAGCCCTCCCAATCAACTTGCAACACCATGGAGCTGGACTGCAGGTACTCTTTGCGGATACATATCAACAACCACGAGAAGTGAATGAACCAACGGGTTGATTTAGTACTACTTCTCCTTCCAACTTGACGAAAACATGGAGATCTCCGAGGTTGAGCAAGACCTCGAACAACGGTTCCCTCCGCACTATTCAAAAGTCAGGGGCGCCACCAAGCTGAAGGTGCTGGACCTTTTTTGCGGGGGTGGCGCGTTCGGCCGTGGGCTTCAGGACACCGGAGTGTTCGAATGTAAATGGTACACGTGTGTGCAAAGAGGGAATCTTATCTTCTTGTTAACAAAGTATACATTCTAGGGCGGTGGATATTGACAGTATGGCCACCTACACGTATAAGGCCAATGCGGGACATGATGTTCTGGTCTTTAATCAGAGCGTCAACCAGTTCCTTCAAGATTGTCTTCAGGAAAAAGATCACACGCCTAAAAAGGTCCCCCCTTCCCAAGCACACCTCGTTCGATATCAAGTTGCTTATCAACCAACCTTGCAGGGTGAAGTGGACGTGATCATAGCTGGCTATCCTTGCCAAGGATACAGCAGTCTTAATCCGAACCGAGCCAGTGATCAGTCACAAAGCAACAATTCCTTGCTGGCTAGCCTGACCTCATTTGTTGAGTTCTACGAGCCCAAGTTTATCCTAATGGAGAATGTCAAGTAAGTCGCATTATCTGAGGTTGCCGGTCTTCCTC